CCGACAGGACCGAGGCCACCATCGGCGTGGACTTCCGCGAGAAGACGGTGGAGATCGAGGGGGAGCGCATCAAGGTGGGCCACGGCAGCACCCGCACCGACCCCGGGCTGGCCGGCAGCGGCCCGGGGCGGCAGAGGCAGCCCCTCCCCGCCCCAGCCCCTGCCCCTGCCCCGGGGCTGCGTCTTTGCACCCCAAACGCCTCTCGGGGGCTTTCCTGTTTTCAGTCCAACTCGAGGGAGGGGAACAGGGGAAGGTTTCTCGTCCCCGTGTTGCAGAGACGCTTTCTGAACCCGTCACTGCTGCGTTGTCGCTATTTATGCCGTTTGCTTGAGTCTGCAGGCAGTCTGAAACGATAGCTCGGGGTGAAATGCTGCTGTCCTCCTGCTCTCCCGCATAACCGGGTCCTTGAAGCATCAGGGTGGCCTCCAGCTTCGGAGGCTGGACCAAAAGAGAGTCAAAGCTGCAGGGAGCTGGGGGAAGGAGCTGTATGCAGAAACCAACGTCTTTTTGGGGGAGCAGATGGTTGTAGGCTGGCAGTGGCTGCGCTGGGAGGCCAGGAGCTCGCACGAGCTGGTTGCAGTGGGCTTGGCAGCTGTGATATTAATGCTGAAGACTCCTGTCAGCGAGCGCTGGGAGGGTGCAATTTCAGCAGAACTAGAATAGGGCAAATTTGCTGTACGAAGGCCACAGACACCTGTAAGAAACACATCAGCCCAAACCTGAAGAGCTCTGGCTGATGTGCCAGAGCAGATCTGCAGCAGCAGCTGGTAGGAAACAGCCTGGGGAGCGCAGTTTGCAGCTGAGCTTGGCCTGCCCGGTTAGGTGGATCAGCACCGACAGCCATCTGTGTGTAAGACTGACTGTCGGAAGAAGCAAATACTGCTATTTTGCTGACAGATGGGTGATTAAAAGTTGAGGGACTAATCACAATGAAATTAGAGCTACTATTGGTGGGTAAGAACTTCAGTTGTGCTTTTAAATTGTCCATGAACATTTTTTTCTCTCTCTCCTTTAAGCAGAGAGGTGCTCATTTTTTGCCCTGCCTTCCCCAGCTCTATCCAACACCACAGAGCTGAGGTGTTGTAAGCTGTAGTGCAGGCTGGCATGAAGCCTGTCTTACTGCCACTAGCTGGAAAACGTTGCCAGGCTTTCTTACCTTTGGATATTATTTGCACTCCAGCAGGCAGGAGTGGGAGGCAGTGCAGCAAATTGGCCTTTTCCTGCGACCGTGCGTCCACGAAGGGAGGTGAGAGGTGGGAGAGGTACCCTCCCTCTCCTGCTCTGCCCAGATGGAACAGCCCAGGAGAGACTGGTGGGGAAACGAATGAGCAGCAGCTCTTCTTTGCCAGCATTTTTCCACTCTGAAAGACTCTGGGGCAGGCACCGTCTCAGTGGGGTACAGGGTGATTTGGATTAACCACAGACATCTGTTTAGAAATTGCCAGTTCCAGGCTTCAAGACATTACCTACAAGGGCCAGCAGAACTCACAGAATCACAGACTAATGGCAAAGTGCAGGTTGGAAGGGAGCTCTGGAGGTCATCTGCTCCAACCCTGCTGCTAAAGCAGGGCAACCCGGAGCCGATTGCCCAGGACCATGTCCAGACAGCTTTTGAATATCTCCAAGGATGGAGGCTCCACAACCTCCCTGGGCAACCTGTGCCAGCGCTCAGTCACCCTCACAGTGGAAGGTGTTTCCTGATGTTCAGAGGGATCCTCCTGTGTTTCACTGTGTGCCCACTGCCTCTGGTCCTGCCGCTGGGCACCACTGAAAAGAGCCTGGCTCCGTCCTCTTCGTAGTCTCCCTTCAGCTATCTATACACATTGGTAAGATTCCCCCCGCCCCCCACCCCAGTCTTCTCTTCTCCAGGCTAAACAGTCCCAGCTCTCTCAGTCTTTTCTCATAGGAGAGAGACTCCAGTCCTTTCATCATCTTCGTGGCCCTTCGCTGGACTCTCCAGTCCATGCCCCTCCTGTACTGGGGAGCCCAGAACTGAACACAGCACTCCAGGTTTGGCCTCACTGAATAAAGGGGATGGATCACCTCCTTCGGCCTGCTGGCAATACTTCATTTAATGCATTTCACCGCCTTTGCTGCAAGGGCACACTGCTGGCTCATGTTCAACCTGGTTTCACCAGGAACCCCAGGTCCTTTTCTGCAAAGCTGCTTTCCAGCTGGGTGGTCCCCAGTGTGTACTGGTGCCTGGGGGTTGTTCCTCCCCGGGGGTGGGACTTGGCACTTCTCCTTGTTGAACTTCATGAGGTTCCTGTCAGTGCATTTCTCCAGCCTGTTGAGGTCCCTCTGGATGGCAGCACCACCATCTCGCATCCTAGCCATGCTCCTCCCAGTTTGGTGTCATCTGCACGCTTGCTGAGGGTGCACTCTGCCCCACCATCCAGATCATTAATGAAGATGTTGAACAGGACTGGGCCCAGTATTGACCCCTGGGGTACACTGCTAGTTACCCGTGTTCAACGAGACTTTGTGTCACTGATCACCACCTTCTAGGCCCAGACGTTTAGCCAGTTTCCAATCCACCTCACTGTCTGCTCATCCAGCCCAGGAGCTTGTTGGCTCCTCTGTCACTTGGGTCAGGAAGTTGCCGTCAATGCTCTCCAGGAACCCCCTGGATTGCTTGTGCCCTGATTTGTCCTTCCGGCAGCTATTGGGGTGGTTGAAGTCCTCCATGAGGACCAGGGCCTGCAAACACGAGGCTGCTCCTATCTGTCTGCACAGTGCCTCATCCGCTTGTTCTTCCTGGTCAGGCGGCCTATAGCAGACACCCACTACAATGTCACCCATGCCGGTCTGCTCTGTAATCCTCACCCACAAGCTCTCAGTTGGCTGCTCACCCATCCCCAGAGCTCCATGCCCTCCCGCTGCTCTCTCACACAAAGGGTGGCACCCCCTCCTCATCTTCTCTTTGCCCTGACTCCTCTGTACATACCACTCTGTAATTGTCGGGATTCTCTTTTATGGCGTAGGATTAGGTGGACAAATGTCCTGATCTGGCGCAAGAATGTTTGTGAAATGAGAAGTGCTTTGTGCGGTTCGTTTCTGTGGTGGGGATGGTGGTCAAGTGCATCATGAAGAGGATGAGAAGCAGGGAGCAGTCCAGCAGCAGAGAGCTGTAGGAGGGCTGCCTGGCAAGGTGTTACGAAGTCAGGTAAGTCATCAGGCGGGGACTTGTCTTCCTGAAAAGCGTGCTGCCAATTCTCTTGAATATATAGGATCAGCCACAGCGGCTGAGAAATGGGATGTGCTGTGCAGAGCCTTGCACTTGCCTGTGAATATTGAAAGTGAATGAAAGTGCCGACATGATCTCTCTTACTTGATGAGCTGGGCTTGCTTGGTTAAATTACACAAGCACGTGCACTGGCCTATACCGCCTTGGGCACTGTCAGCATAGGCCTAAAAGCTTGTGTAACTCATCCATCAGCTCAGGTTCGTCTAATAGGAGACTGCCCCTCCCTGCAAGGCTCGCCTTGCCTGTGCCCTGCCTCAGGGCTGTGGCACCGCTGTCAAAGATGGACCAGGAGGAAGCCCTCCTGCATCTTCCTGCAGGGAGTTCAACAAGCCAGCCTACTCCTCCAGCAGCAGGCCCTGCCCCGGGGCGGACACCCAGCGCTCCTGCAGCCTTCTTTCTTGTCTCTTTTGCTTCCTAGGTGCAAGTGTGGGACACGGCTGGCCAGGAGAGGTTTCGGAAGAGCATGGTAGAGCATTACTACCGCAACGTGCATGCCGTTGTCTTCGTTTACGATGTCACAAAGATGACCTCCTTCACCAACCTCAAGATGTGGATCGAGGAGTGCAACGGGCACGCGGTGCCCCCCCTTGTCCCCAGGGTGCTCGTTGGGAACAAGTGTGACTTGAAAGACCTGATCCAAGTGCCATCCAGCATGGCCCTGAAGTTCGCCGACGCTCACAACATGCTTTTGTTTGAGACCTCGGCCAAGGACCCTAAGGAGAGCCAGAACGTGGACGCCATTTTCATGTGCCTGGCCTGCCGGCTGAAGGTGCAGCGGTCGCTGCCCTGCCGGGACCTGGAGGGGCGGCCGGGCCAGGCCCGCAGGCTGGAGCCAACGCACGACGCCAACGGTAAAAACTCCTGCCCGTGCTGAGCAGGGCTCCCGCCGCCCTCTGTCACGGTCACCCCAATAAAGTCTCTGCGGCTCCAGTCAGCTCTGGGTGTTGCTTTGCTCGGCTCGGCTCGGCTCCGGCGGGGCGG